GGGGGGGGGGGGGGGGGGGGGGGGGGGGGGGGGGGGGGGGGGGGGGAGAGCGAGACAGAGGCGGAGGAAGAGACCAGAGCGAGAAGGAGAACACGAGCACTCACAAAATTAAAAAGCAGGAAAAAATCCACCCCCCTCTCCCAAGCGGCAAACTCACATCGGGCGCGTTAATCATGACCCGCATCAGGCGATCTAACCCCGCCGCGCCGGCAACCCCCCCCCTGGCGCCCGCTCCCTCGCCCCCCGCCACGGCATCCCCGAGCGTCTTCAGCAGGCTGTTCTCCGCGGGCGTCAGCACCTCCCTCGCCCTCGCTCCGCCCCCGCTGCCTTCTTGAGACCCTTCGAGGGCAGCGGCCCAACCTGGCGCTAGCGCTCCCACCCCCCTGCCCACGTTCTGGCGCTTGTACCTAGCCCTGAAGAAGTCGCTGCTGGCACTGCTACCGCCTCCTGTTCCTTCCTAGAGTTTTGAGAAAGGGAGGAGTTGGCCAGAGCAGCGGGGACGGTTGGTTGATGCGCTGGTGCTGGCTTTTTCAAGGGAAACGCTGTAACATGCAGAAGAAGCGGCAGAGCGAGCGACGCGTGTGTGTGCTGCCCACGTTTTGGTTCTGGTTAAGTGTCAACCCAGCCTGCCTGTTGTTGCTCTGGCTTACTGCTATCTACTGCACTGCTATCCTTCAATGAGGGCGATATATAACGTTTTCGTCGATTTTCAGGACAGAAATGGCGGCGGTGGATACCGCGGTGTGCCGGGTGGACGAGAGAGATATCGAGTTAAGAGAAAGAGAGAGATCGAGAGAGGTGTTAAGAGAAAGAGGGGAGATCGAGAGAGAACGAGCGACAAGCAGTTGCACAACAGAGACAGAAGAGAAGCAGAGGGGCACAAAGGCTGCGAACGGGAGGGCAGGCCGGAACGGCCAAGCACAACCAACCGAGGACGAGAGAGAGAGATTGGTTGATCGACAACGGCCCACTGCTCGTTTCGCTGAGAGAGTTTGTCTGGCTCCTGTGTGCGTGCAGCGCCGTCTCGCGCGAAAATTTTTCAAGACACCGTCTTCCCTCGGTAAAGAACCCTTTATTTTTAAAGGATTCGGCGACCCTGGATGGTTGTAGTTGTACGAAAAACCACACCAAACAGTGTAGTACTCTGCACGCACTGAAAAGTGTAGTACACGTCTCGCCACGAAAAAGCGGGGGACGGTCGCCATAATAAATAGGACGTACAACACACACACAACACATTCTCCTGGCTAAGGAAAACTTATTTTCACAGGCGTGGAGACTCGCAGAACGTACAACACAACGAGGGGTATCAACCATGAGAACACTTCCCCGGCTTAAGGACACCTGTTCAAACGAAAAATCACGTGCCCTTCACCGAGGTATGTACGACTGCTGTATGTTGCTCGTGAACCTCTTTCCCTCCGGCCCTTGACGAACGTCTTTCGGAGTTGTAAGAAGACTTGGAGAAACATTTTCTGGTGTCCATTCCTTATTTTTTCTTTGAAAGGTGTACCCCCCCTCTAGTGGGGCAGTTGGCTTGTGACCACGGAAGTCGTCCGCGTCAGTTGGACCAGTACAAAAATTAGAAGGTACTGAGCGGAGACCGGAACGCTTTGAAATGTGAAGACAACAACAACAAGGTACCGTAAGAGACCGGGAGACGGCACCCCCCTCAGGCCGGCTTTCAAAGCTCGATTGTTCAACAACCGAGGGGGTGCGGAAAGAGCCCGATGTGTCGACTAAAAAAGCTAGGCGAGATGCTTCCACAACCGCCACTGTTGGTGTTGGCACAAGCTTGGTTGCGGAGCGATCGAGCTTAAAAAGTCTATGGGGGGTGCCATCGCTCTGCCTCGTATTGCCGCACAAGGCATGGATAATACCGACTGCAGCAAGCAGTAGAAATGAACGACTTTCAATCGACGTTTTACGTGGGCTGCATGTACTTGTAATATGCAATGCTCACTGAGTCTCGATTTCTGCGAAGCTTGAAGAAGAAAGCAGTTTCATCACTTACTTACTCCACCGCATCGACAATGAACGCAATGAATTTTCCGAATTTCCCTCTGTGATGCTCTCCACAGCCCACGTTAAAAAGCAAGTATGCATATATTGGGGAACAGGCCAGTACGATAGCCTTCGCAGGGTTTATCGAGTAAGCAAACATGTTGGATAAAGAACACAATCGGGGAAGTTGGGTAAAGGTTAGGGTTAGGGGATGGGTTCTGCGTCCCTTCTCCCTGTTTCGTTATAAAACCTTTTCATCTGGCGATGGAATCGGTGGAATTTCGGGGGTTCCGGTTAGTTACCCTTCCTCTATTTCATCGTTCCTCCGCGTAACAGTCCTCACAACATTATGGATGGTGGTTGAAGGGAGAAATCAAGCCAGTTTGTGCTCAGCAAGAGGACAAAGAAGCCAGTTCGCAAGAATTATCTTCACGACTCGGACTTACCCGGATTTCTTCGGTGTTGTACACGTGCAACAAAACCAAGCATCTATCGGACCCACGAACTACGTAGTTTCTTGGGATGTGCGCACCAAGCTTGCCACGAACGGAGACAACATGTCGTCGTGCCTATAATGTGGGTCGTAGACCTTGTCGCAACACACGAGGGTGGTGGAGCTGAAACGACAAGCACCAACCCTCTACACATTAGCATGCGGCGGTTGGTGCTGCTGGAGCGACCGATAGCCGCGTTTTGCACCGAAAATACTTCCACGTTCCCCAATACGCTTGCGATACACATGACACCGCGAGCTTCGTGATTAGATGTGCTCCTAGCAAACAACGCAACCAATCACGACCGGGGGCCACACAGTCGACCGTCCAAAAACTGCACTACGCACGCTGCATCACCACACACATGCGTCGTTCTGTAACTACTGCTGCACGTACGTAGAACATATGCGTGTCTCGAGTGTGGCACAGAGATATAGTATTAATAGCTTATGGCACATCCAGTGCAAAGATATCTGTCCACAGCTCTAGCTGCCGTTGGGCGAAGACTACCATACCACTCTGTCTCGCTCTCTCACCTTGGCCGCGAACGCATGCCCACTCCCCGCCCCCTTCCCTCCTCGAGCCGCGGATTCCGTGGGAGCCTTGGCCTGCCCGCCGTTGGCTGTCTGCGCCTGCTGCTCGCTCCTCGGTCGCTTCGTACCAGCCTGTTGTTGTTGCTGCTGCTGCTGCTGCTGTCGCTGCCGCTGAAGATGCTGCTGCTGCAAGCGTTGAGCCATAATGACCGGCGACGACATGCTCTCTCTATCTCTCTCTCTCTGCCCCCTCCGGCCTGCCTGAAGACCGAACCGGGCGGATTCCCGGTTTGAACCCCGTCGGTGAAGAGACGCGGTAGAGAATAAAGGGCGGGGCGCGCGGGTCCCTTTCTCAGAGGAAGATGCGTTGGGTGGCACTGCCTGTTTGTAGTTGCTGTGGGATAACTGAAGGTTGCAGCCCGGTAGCGTGCCGCTAGATTGGGTGGACGTAGCGTCTGATGTAAGGTGGGAGGTGTGCTCGAGACCACCAGAACCTACCGCAGCGAACAGAGCCAAGTGCTGTATGTGGTGTCCCTTGAGTTTGGTGTGACTTGGGGTCAGAGAGAGACAAGAAGCGGAGGCAGCGACCCTGCGAGACTCTAAAAATAATATGAATCCGGCAGGAGGAAGATAACTTCGTGTGTGTGCGTGTGCGTGTGGGCAATCCGTGATCATCTATTCATCCAAACAGCATCTGACGCACGGACTGCGTGCGGCGCGGGGGGGGGGCAGGTCAAATGACGGCCGCTTGGGTTGAGCCAAAAACACAAACGACACTTCCACGTGCGCGCGGCGGTTGTGCTGCCAAATAAATCTAGGCCGCGAAAAAAACAACCGATCATTCACCAAGTTTTATCTGTGAGCGACGAGCTGGCGTTGTGCGATGTCGCCCGCGTCTTCTTGTCGATGGTAGACCTCTTTCCTGCTGTGTGCCCGACCCCTCCGTCTGCAACGCGGTGTTGATTGTAGTCTGCCCTCTGCAGAGGCGGCTACAAATATTTTCGAGTTGCGATGATGCCGCAGCAGCAGCAGATCCGTTCTTCTCTCGCAAGAACAGCAGGTGATCAGGTGACACTCACCAGCCAAGGAAAAACTCGCGCAAGGACCTGCGCTACCGTGTGCACCTCGGCTTGATGTATGTGTGTGCTTCTTCCTGTGCCGTTGTTTGAATACGAGCGCCGCTGGTGAGCGGCGAGCTGCAGCAGTTAGGTGCGCTGCTGAATGTGGGTTGACCGAAAGGAGGCGACGCTACAAAGAACTGAACGAGCACGCGAGCATGTGGGGGTCAAAGTTTTACTGGCAAGCCCAGGCGAGCCACCGGCTATATTGTCGAAAAAAAAAATGGTTTCTCACGGCGCACATACGATCCTAGCGCTCAGAGGTTGTGTGTTCGTTTTGTCTCGCATATAACACATGCAGTCAGTCGGTTACAGCAGTAGCGCTTGGGCTACTTTTTTGTTGTTTGTTGTCAGTTTGTCGTTGTTGGGGTTTTCTCGATGCAGCAGTAATTAAAGATTGGTAAAACGGGCCGGGTTTTTGTAGATATACCGTTCCGCCTCCGTTTGTGTGTTTTCTGACAACATTCAGTACAAACAGGTTATTTCGGACGGGTTCGTTCGGGGATCTACGCTCGCTCCTAGCCCTATGTGTTGGTTGTTTTGTTGCTATCTTCTAGTCTTCTGTCTTATTGTTGCTGACCGAGACCCCTCGTTGTTACGATTGATTCATTGTCATGGCAGATTGAAGAGCTACATGTAGTCTAGACTATGTATTGTAGTATTCGCTTTTTGTGGTCCTAAGGAAATACGAAGTCTAGTCTAGACTAGTAGGAAGGAAGGCCCTTCCTTCCCTCCCAATGAAGGAACCAATCAATAGTAATGACACGTGACACACTCAATCCACTTGAGAAAGCCTACAACAGCAACCAGCCCTAAAACCCTGACTATGCACACATCAATTAATCAACGACAGACAATGCGAACAAAATGGTACAACAAGAACTTGAGCAAGGCGACGAGAACCAATCGGTTGTTCGGAACAATAAAAAACTAATCATCATGCACCACATTGCACTACACCTAGGTGTTACTATGTTAGGCAGAGGAGATAGAAGAAACGAGCACGGGAGAAGAAAGAAGTGTTCTTGCGCGCCAGCCACCGCTTGAAACAAAACTCTTCGTGCTTCTCGCGAAAAGCTCGAGGCATGTTTCTATGGACAGCATAAATTCTAGTGAGTATGGGCCAAACAACGCGAGAGCGAGCGCCGGCCGCGTCGTGCTTACCAGACTAGTCTAGAGTATGAACTTGAGTAAGCATGTTTCACACGTGCGCCGGCTAAACGTCCGAAGAAGTGAACCAATTGCCGTCGGTAGAGCTAGCGCGTTGACCATCCCAATATTGTTCCTCCATTCTTTTTTTCAACACACGCTCTGCACGGCCTTGAACTTTATTTGGTGTCCTCGACGAGTATTGGTAAAGAGTAGCACACTCCCAACCTAGTCTAACCCTAAGCTAAATTGTGTGTTGAAACGTACATGAACATGTGAATCGGCAAAGAGCGAATTAACTCTCCTTCGATCGCACTCTGCCCGCAAGGAAGCATTAGATAATGTTACCCCCCGTACAGACTGTAGCACGCATCTCACGTTTCCCGAAAAATGCAGCATCAGGCCAACGTTCTGACAGTGAGACAGAGACAGGGGCAATAAACTTTTCTCCCCCAAAACGAGAACCACTAGATTCGAAAGAGGATTCCGAACGCAAAGGGCTAAGAACATACAAGTTAGACAACATGCGCTATGACAAACACAGCAAAGGCCACAAATTCTTGACGGCAAGCAAACACGTACGCTTGGTGCGATGGTTTGTAGCGCGAAAATGGTGGGGGGAGAGGGCGTGAGCCCAGTACTCCGCACTTGGCAGCAGCACCATAGAGAGCGTTCACCGTCCTCGACAAACACAACTCCATCTACATGCACAAATGATTGCCCGATCCGAAATCGATCCATGATTCAGCGAAAGGGATCATAGCGCTCCCGTTGAGTTGGAACCCGACCATCATAGAACTCGCGGGCGAATGCCCCCCCCCCCCCCAAGCACCATAAATCCAAGTAAAACCAACAACCAAAACCAAAGCGATGCTGGGAGAATGTCAACATGCCACTCTATTCCCGCGTCACTAGCACCCCTTGCCGTTCACCACCTAAATGTCCCCTGTGGCGACCTCGGTATAAAAAAAATAAAGACGCAGACACGCTCATTCGCTGAGAAGGGGACAGCAGTGTACGCACGGACACATGTGGATTGTCCATGTCATGACTAAATACCACCGACCAACGTCCACGAGTTGCAGGCGGGAAGATTGACAACGAATTCCTTCTCACAAGTCTTGAGACAGACACCATCAACACCGCGACCCATGGTCTGTTGCTGCCATCACAATAACTCTACCCCCCCGTCCTCTTGAGGACGCGTGGTCAACGCTCTCTAACAACTGAGGCATGTAAAACATCATGTGCAAAACATGAGCATCCC